CCAGTAGACCACAGACCATGGGAAATAGGAACAGGAGTAGGTCGTTCGGCTCCTCGAGCCTGTTCTGTCATTAACAGGATCATGGCTGATCCAACATTCCTCACGTCCACTTTCCTGCATTTTCCCCATATCTCTCAATTCACTGACATTTCAAGAATCTGTCTTTCCCAGCTTTCTGTGGCAAGGAGTTCTTGGAGCCGGTTTTCACATTGAGGAACTGAGATGGTTTGGATAGAGAGATGTGCTTATCTTACAGTTCCACATGGACTGAGATTCCTGCAATGGGACAATAGAGAGGACAGTACCAGGTGTCAGTCAGGATGGCAGCAATTACCTTGGCTCTAAGGGCTGTTGTGGCATGGGGTATGGTATCTCTGTACTGGGAGGCCCAGGATCAAGTCCCACCTGCTCTAGAGATGCGTACCAACATCTCAAGCCAGGGTGATTAAAAAATATCTGCCCTTGGTTCGAAAAGCTTGATGTTTGGAGCAAAAGCCAAATGTATCAGGAGGATAATAGCTGCTATCTTGTGACGTTTACTAACACTTGAAGTTATTGATTCGTTTTTAGTAATTACACAGTATGCAACAAAACCTGATAATAGCACCAATCCTTGAGATTTTTATTTATTTTTGTGGGACGTGGGCTGTAGGGATTGTAATGAGGTCAGCCAGGTGGACCTGATAGAATATGAGTTCCCTGATTGGGGCTGTTAATCTGGTCCAATCAGAGAGCCCTGGCTGACAGATATAAACAGAAGGGTCAGGGGTTCAGCTCACTCTGAGAGCTGGCTCTGAGGGAGCTGTATCAGTGTCAAGCACTCTCCCTGTGTAAATAAAGGGGAACTTGGTGACAGGATACTGTCTGCTGTGGAGTTATTTCTTGGACATCACTGGCAGGGTCAGCATTTAATTACCTGTCCTTAGTTGCTCCTTGAGAAGGTGGTGGTGAGCTGCCTTTTTGAACCGCTGCAGTCCATGTGCTGTAGGTTGACCCACAATGTCCCTTAGGGAGGGAATTCCAAGATTACAAACAACGACGAGACAGAGTACAGGAAAGAGATCGAGAGCTCAGGGCATGGTGTAAAGCCATCAATCTCTCCATCTATGTCAGCAAAATAAAGGAGCTGGTCATTGACTTCAGAAAGGAGAGTGGAGGCCATGCCCCTGTCTGTATGAAAGATGCTGAGGTGGAAGTGATTGAGAGCTTCACGTTCCTAGGAGTTGGTATCACTAATAATCTGTCCTGGTCCATCCACATTGACACTACAGTCAAGAAAGCACGCCAACTTCCTCAGAAGGCTAAGGAAATGTGCCATGTCAGCAAAGGACTCTTACTAATTTCTATAGATGTACCATAGAAAGCATCCAACTGCTGTGCAAGAAATGACAGAGTGTAAACGCAGCCCAAGTCTATCACAAAAACTGGCCTTCGACCCAGTGACTCCATCTACACTTCCCACTGCCTTGGGAAAGCAGCCAACATCATCAAAGACCCCTCCCTCCACTGTTATACTCTCTTCCACCATCTTCTGTCAGGCAGAAGATATAAAAATTTAAAAACATGTGCCAACAGATTTAAGGACAGCTCCTTCCCCACAGTTATCAGATTTATGAATGGGCCTCTCATATATTAGAGTTGATCCCTCTCTGCACCTTCTCTGCAGCTGTAACATTATATTCTGCATTCTGTTCTATTACCCTGATGTACTTATGCAGGGTATGATTTGTCTGATTAGCACACAAAACAATACTTTTCACTGTATCTCAGTACATGTAACAAGAGTAAATCAAATCAAATCTTATGTATCTGCTGCCCTTGTCCTTCTGGATGGAGGTAATCATGGGTTTGGAAGGTGCTGTCTGAAGATTTTTGGTGAATTCCTGCAGTGCATCTTGTAGATAGTATACACTGCTGCCACTGAGCGTCGGTGGTAGAACAAAGAACAAAGAAAATTACAGCACAGGAACAGGCCCTTCGGCCCTCCAAGCCTGCGCCACTTGGTGGAGGGAGTGAATGTTTGTGGATGTAGTACCAATCAAGCGGGGGCTGCTTTGTCCTGGATGATGTCAAGCTTCTTGAGTGTTGTTGGGGCTGCACTCATCCAGGCAAACGGGGAGTATTCCATCACACTCCTGACTTGTGCCTTGTAAATGATGGGCAGGCTTTGGGGAGTCAGGAGGGGAGTTACTCACTGCAGGATTCCCAGCCTCTGACCTGCTCTTGTAGCCGCTGTGTTTATGTGGTGAGTCCATTGAGTTTCTGGTCAATGGTAACCTCTAGTCACCCATCCCCCAACTTGCCTCCTCAAGCAGAGGAGACCAAACCGCGAGCAACGCATGCAGCAGACCAGACCGTGGGAAGTGCAGGCAAAGTGCTGCTTCACATGGAAGGTATGATTGGGCCTTTGGATTCTGGGGATGGAGGAGGTAAATGGGTAGGTGTTGTACCTTCTCCGGTTACAGGGAAAGATGCCGTGAAGCTGTGAGGGGGTCAGGGGGGAGGGTGGGGGGGCAGGACGGGGCGGTGTTGGGAGTGAGGCTATTGTCCTGAACTTGTTGCATTTGAACATGGACTGCTTCAGTATCTGAGGAGTCACGAATGGTGCTGAACATTGTGCAATGATCGGCGAACATCCCCACCTCTGACCTTACGATGGAGGGAAGGTCATTGATGAAGCAGCTGAAGATGGTTGGGCCTAGGGCACTATCCTGAGGAACTCCTGCAGAGATGTTCTGGAGCTGAGATAACTGATCTCCAACAACCACGACCATCTTCCTGTGTGCCAGGTATGTCTCCAACCACCAGAGAGTTTGCCCCTGGATACCCATCGATTCCAGTTTTGCCAGGGCTCCTTGACAACACGCTTGGTTGAATGTGGTCTTGATATCAAGGGCTGTCTCTGTCATCTCACCCACTGGAATTCAGCTCTTTTGTCCATGTTTGACCCAAGGCTGTCAGGGCCCATAGCCTTTGCAATATCCAGTGTCTCCGACCATTTCTTAATATCACGTGGAGTGAATCGAATTGGCTGAAGACCGGTATCTGTGATGCTGGGGACCACTGGAGGAGGCTGAGATGGATCATCCACTCGGCACTTCTGGCTGAAGATTGCTGGCCCGTTTTCAATTGCTTAGTTTTCAAGGACTCTTGACACTGGTGCCAATCGTTATGGTGAGAAGACAGTTTTATAACAATCATTATTAACATCATATTTCACTTTGCACATCACCATTCTCAAAGTGGCTTTCTATCACATCTCCAGCAGTGTAGGCCCATACTCGCTAGAGTTTAGAAAAATGAGAGGAGATCTAATATAAAGAAGAGGATTGACAAAGTACACCCAATGAGAATGTTCCCCTGTGAGGGACAATCTAGAATGAGAGGTCATAGCTTTAGGATAAGGGGTAGCATATTTAAAACAGATTTGAGGAGAAATTACTTCTCTCAAAGAGTTGTGAATCTGTGAAATTCACTCCCCCAGAGAGCAGTGGATGCCGAGTAAATCGAAGGGGGAGATAGAGTGATTTTTAATTATTAACGGGTTGAAGAGTTATGGAGAGCAGGCAAGATGAGGTCGGACATGATCATACTGAATGGCAGAGCAAGCTAGAGGGGCTGAATGGCCCTGCTGCTGCTCCTAGTTCTTACGTCCTTATTACAGTAAATCCGTTTCAACTCAGGGCAGCGTGAGCTATTACTGTTCAATAACATGAGCAGGTTGTGCACTACTTCCAAAATCTAAATGTGCTGGAGGGACCAAAGGGATCTGGAAATAAAGTACATCACTAACAATAACGACGCACAGTAGCAAGACCATACGAAGGCAAACCAAACCCTAGGATTTATTTCTGGCAGGATGGGGATAGATTGGAAAGAGGTTGTGGTACTGTATCGAGCTTTGGTTAGGCCACTGTTGGAGTTCAGCTTTCCATGTTATAAAAGGCTAAAGAGTCACTGGATAGGCAGAAAAGAAACTTGTGCAAGACTGCTATCAGGAATGTGAGGTGACAGCCGTAAGGAGAGGATGAATAGCCTCAGTCTGTTTATTTTTAAAGTTTCTGATCGAGTAAGTTGCTGATCTGGGGAAGAGCAAAACTAGAGGCTGTCAACACAAGAAATCCAACTGGAAATTCATGAGAAAGGTCTTTACTCAGAGAGCGGTGAGAATGTGGAACTTGCTCACATAGTGTTGTGGCTAAAAGCGATATTATCGAGCATTCAGTTGTTGAGAAAGAGAAACAAATTGAACATTTTGAAGGTAGAGTTAAATAAGGAAGGATGGGAGGAGGATTGAGTGGAGTGTTTGGAGGAATTTACTGGTAAAAGATATTGTACTCCATGACGTTGCCACCTCTAAGAGTTTGCGGTTTCGAAGGAGAACCCTCCAGACAAAACAACCACAGATGGGCTGGAGAAAATGACCACTTTCCATGCCACGTATCCAATGTAACCCTGTACAAACTCTAACTCAGCTTCCCCAAGCATGATTATTGAGTCTTACAGATGAGTTCTGTCTGCCACTGACTGAGGTAGCCATGGTGATTACAGATTGTTCAGAGTTCTTGCCATTGGATGACATTGCACCTTGCGTTGTCCTATCATCACAGAAGTACACCATTGATTCATTCACTAAGCATGCTTGGTTTAGGCTCAGATCATTGACAAATTTGAGAAGCATCCATTGTCCATTTTAGAAGAGTTTTTAGGATCATTAATCTCCTCTCACAACAGTTTTGAGGCTCAGCAAGCCTGATGGTAACTTCCTGCACATCAACTCAGTCAACTAGGATTAGACTAGGTTCTATAAAGTGCATTGGCTGCTTCTGGAATTTAACGGACCTAAAATAGCCAGTTTGACACAAAATGGACCTTTGAAATTCCCCTCAATATCCCAGAGCTGAGAGAGTGAGGGAAAATCTCCAACGGATGGCTGTTTCTACTTAATGCACATCGTAAAGGATAAAACAAGTAAGCAGCACATGGATGGATGCTCCTACCTGAGAGGTCATGCCATGACATGGATACAGGATAGCTCTGTCATCTTCTTCTGAGCCTTGGTCTAAGCAGTAGCCACTTGCTTTGCTGTTTCGTACCTATTAGATTAAAAGGAATTCAGGTTCAAAGTCAAGCCTTACTGAAAGAACTTCCTGTAGGAGTTTGCAACTCATGTTTAATATCAACCCTAAACCACTTCTTTGAACTTTGTAGCCAAAGGAACGACATTAGGGACAATTCGTTTGTCAGAAACCGTCAGCACATTGTCAGAAACAAGAACAGAAATTGCTAGAAAAGCTCAACAAGTCTGTTTCGGGTCCCTTCCTCAGAACCGTTCTGCCAGACCTGCTGAGCTTTGCCAGCGATTTCTGTTTTAGTTTCTGATTTCCAGCTTCCACAGTTCTTTTCAGATTGTATTTGGTATGTTGTGAGGTTGTGAAAGAAGTTACTTGTTTACTTTAAGTGAGAGTCTTGCTGGTGTCGCAGAGGGAATGCTACTGTGCAGTTGATCACAATCCACTGCACCTCCATATGTAAGCTGACCGCTGGGCCCCTGTCAAACTCCACAATGTCAACTTTGCGTCTTTTTTCTCTCCAGTGCCATTAAAATTGCTGTTAGTGTGGGATCAGAAATTGGAAGCTGAATGTATGAAGCTTGAAGCAAAAGGAGATGGAGGCACTTTCTGAAGCCGTCAGCAAGAACAGCTAAAATGTAAAAAGCTTTCCTACAGTTATTTTAAGAACACTAATCTCTGAGGAATATCCTCTGCTGCCTCAGGTCCTATTTCAGAGGGACTGTAGGCAGACTGCTGTGGTTTTGAGAAATGTGCTCACCACTCTGACTCACAAAACACAGTTTGGTTTTAAAAAGCTTGAAAGCAAAAGCAGACCAGTCAGCAACACACACCCCCCCCCACCTCCCCCCCCCCCCCCCCCCCCCCCCCCGATCCCCCCCAGGTCATGCTACAGCCCATCCTTCCAACTCCACTAGCCCCGCCGTCCAACTCCACCCCCAGGGTCATCTCGGAGATGGGATTTGTCCATTTTCATGACACTTGCTATCAAGGGTGAATTCCTTATGGGGAAGCCATCAATGGCCAGACCCTTCCACACTCAGTGATTACTCAGAACCAAAATCCACAGCATTTGTGCAAGTTTTAAATGGGAGATGAGTAAACCACAGCGCAGCTGCCCATTTGCTACACTCACTCACAAAAGGGACAGGATGCAAGGTTTACATTTTTCTAATTTTGTCCGAGAGATCAGCAAACTTGAGCGAAGGCAATGGGTTTAGCTTTTGAGTGCTGTGTAAATCTCTTGCTCTCTGTAAAGAAGCTTAAGGATTTACATCAAATCAAAGTGGTTTTTGACTCTCCCACATCAAAGGAAGAATTTCTCAATTTTTGCAAGTCCCAAAAGCGGTTTACACAATCACAGAATTGTACAGCGCACAAGGAGGCCATTCAGCCTGCTGTATCTGTGCTCGTTCTCCAACTGAGCTTGCCAGCTTTCTCCTCCATCCTCCCGAACCTCTAACACTCCTCCATTCCAGCCATATCCAATTCCCTGGGGAAAGGCCTGACTGAATGTACTGCCTCTCAGGCAGCGGGTTCCAGATTCAAACCACAGTAAATTCTTCCTTTTTATGTCTACTTCAGGAAAGAACGATCAACTCCCCTGTACAGAGCTGTGAACAGAGGGGTCAGGGTCTTTGGAGAAGCAGCAATAGTAGTTCCACACTGCAGTGCATTTCTTCCAGTGTTTTTACAAACTCTGCTTCCAGACAAACATACAGGGTACTGTATGTGACAGGGCATGACCCCATTAAACAAATGGATTGTTGAGTCAGTAGGTAGACTAGGCTTCAATTTAACATTTCCTGGGTGACTCCAGCTGAATTGGAGGCATTCACAGAGGGTTGCAGACAGCACAGGGAATGCCCATCAGAAGTTCAGATGTCCCAAGCAATTCCCACATCAGGAATTCACTGGGTCCCCACATGCATCTTCAGACAGATGATCTGGAAGCTGGACAATTTGGTCTAATATCTTGGCTTACACTCGAGTGTAAGGAGTGAAGGAGTGCTGTACTATCAGAGGTGCCAGCTTTCAGATGAGCTGTTAAACCAAGGCCCCATCACCATTCTCTCCATCTGCTCGATGTGAAAGATCCCACAGCACTAATTCAAAGAAAAACAAGGGAACTCTACCCATTATCCTGGCCAATAATTACTCCTCAGCTCATATCACTAAAAGGAAGAGGTTACCTAATCATGTATCTCCTTGCTGTTTGTGGAATCTTGCTGTGTACAAATCGCAATTTCTACAACAGTGAGCAAGCTTCAAATGCACTTCATTGGCTGTGAAGCAACTGTGAATGTCCAGAGGTCAAAAAAAAAAGGTGCTACAGAAATTCAAAACACCACCCAAAGCAGGACAATTGGATGAAATGCAAGAAGAGTTTTGTTTTGTGGCAGTATCAAAAGTCACAAAATCAGGTTTCAGTTTCATGTTGTCAGAATGCTATATAGTGACCAATTTACAATTCCTCAGATAGGCTAAAGACCCTTCTGAGGAAGGCTCACTGAACCTGAAACGTTAATTCTGATTTCTCTCCCACAGATGCTGCCAGAGCTGCTGAGCTTTTCCAGCAATTTCTGTTTTTGTCTGTCTGCCTCAGATACCTCACCAAGCTTCTCTCAAACAAACCAGTCATCTGTCACTCACACCAGGTTCTCTTTCCAGCTTTGGGATAATGATATTCTCCAGACAAACTAGACTGGGAGACACTGTGTTCCTGGGAGAGTGCAAGGTTGAGGAGCTTCCAACTGAAGACATGGAAACAGAAGCCGAGGTACTTTCCAGAGGTCATGGAAATCATTGAGAGTGCACTGAAGTGTACTCAGTCAACATTAATGTAGTGTGTACTGAATGAGTGAGCAGTGCATTAGGCAGCGACTGTCATCTGATTTAATCAACTTGTCACTTGAGATTATGGAAGGAAACTGGAAGGGATAAGTGATTTAAAAAGCTCACAGAAAAATAAAACAGCAGAGAAACCTCCTCAACGTAGTGTTCAGCCACGTTTCCAGGTATCAAGATCTGCTGCCTCTGTTTCACCCAGCATTTATATCCAGACGACTGATGCAGACGTTATGTTACAGTTATACAAACCCCTGGTTAGACCCCACTTGGAGCACTGTGAGCAGATCTGGGCGCACATCTTAGGAAGGATATCCTTCCAAAAGTTTACTGATGATCGAGAGTAGACTGATGGGGCAGTAATTGGCCGGGTTGGATTTCACCTGCTTTCCGCCTATAGGATATACCTGGGCAATTTTCCACATTGTCGGGTAGATGCCAGTGTTCTGGTATCCCTCGAACAACATCAACGAAACCAGATTTTTTGGAAATTGTCACATTTTAGTTTGTGGGAGCTTGTTGCACGTAAATTGACAATTGCAGCTATACTTCAGAAGTACCTCATTAACTGTTTAGGGCTTTAGAACATCTTGATGTCATGAAAGGTGCCATAAAAATGCAAGATCTTTCAGTTGGGAATTAACCATGTATTTCCTGGTTGTTACTCAAGATAGTGCTTCTGGGGTTGGAATTGAGTGTGTGAAACAATATCGGAAAAAAGGACAATAGGAACAGGAATAGGCCATTCAGATCCACGAGTCTGTTCCACCATTCAATAAGATCATGGCTGATCTGTGGCCTAACTCCATCAACCTGCCTTTGGCCCATGGAGCTTAATACCTTTGCTGAACAAAACTGTATGTACCTCAGTAAAGTGATTGGAACCAGGTTGACTATGACGTTACAAGGTGTAGAGCTGGATGAACACAGCAGGCCAAGCAGCATCAGAGGAGCAGTAAGGCTGACATTTCGGGCCTAGACCCTTCTTCAGAAATGGAGGAGGGGAAGGAGGTTCTGAAATAAATAGGGAGAGAGGGGGAGGTGGATAGAAGATGGATAGAAGAGAAGATAGGTGGAGAGGAGACAGACAGGTCAAAGAGGTGGGGATGGAGCCAGTAAAGGTGAGTGTAGGTGGGGAGTTAGGGAGGAGATAGGTCAGTCCAGGGAGGACGGACAGGTCAAGGGGGAGGGATGAGGTTAGTAGGTAGGAGATGGGGGTGCGGCTTGAGGTGGGAGGAGGGGATAGGTGGGAGGAAGAACAGGTTAGGGAGGCGGGGACGAGCTGGACTGGTTTTGGGATGCAGTAGGGGGAGGGGAGATTTTGAAGCTTGTGAAATCCACATTGATACCATTGGGCTGCAGGGTTCCCAAGCGGAATATGAGTTGCTGTTCCTGCAACCTTCGGGTAGCATCGTTGTGGCACTGCAGGAGGCCCAGGATGGACATGTCGTCTGAGGAATGGGAGGGGGAGTTGAAATGGTTCGCGACT